GTCTTGTGAATTTGGCTGAGAGCCTAAAAGTATGTGCAAATATTTGCATATGCCTTGGCGAATACATTTAAGGGGCGATTGTAGAAACATGGAGGGATTTTGAATAAATTTGTTTGTACATATGAAAGGAAGTAGAAAAAATGTGTTGTCTTAAATATGTAATTTAACGGTATTTGTAAATTTAAAGAGCAGCAGCATAGCGAAAGCGTTTGAAAATAGAATTTGGCAGTATTATTATATTTCTTGTTTATAGTGAAAAAAATAAAATCAAAATAAATTAAAGACGCAACAACAAAAAGTGTGAACTCATACAGCAACTCATACTGCAATTTTTAATTGTCGAGCGATTTAATAAGATTTTGAAAAAACATTGGGAACATATTTATGTGGGCCAATATGTAAAACTAAAGTCAAACAAATATATATATAATATATCTGAAAGTATATGTTTTATGCATCAAACTACGAAATATTCGCTAAGCTTTTTAGGAGCTTTTGGAGGTGTGATCTTTTACTAGGAGGAATTGTGCTTGTGACAATGGATGGAACATAGGCCCATTATTTTACTCCGAAGTACAATCGACAGTCATCCGGGTAGATTGAACACGATAAACTTGCTTTGGCATGAACATTTTTTTCTAATGAAGAGGTGATCGCTAAAATTGAGGGCTATTTTAAATCAAAGGACAGATTGTACTCATAGAAAGAAGTAAGTTCGGGTCCAACCGAACATTTTAACATTTTCTTGCAACTTGCAGAAATCAAAGCAAGATATATGGAAGCTCAAGAAAGTATTTACTCGATTCAACCCATTTTTAATCCACAGAGTTATTATTGTCAGGAAATGATTTCTTCTGAATTTCTATTATATATCTTAAAAATTTACCGCTATTTCTGGTCAAAAGTCAACTATAAATACTAGGGTTCACATATTCACTACATACGATGGGCTTGAACAGTTTTGGTTGGATTTAGGCAATTTTTAGTCAGACGGTGGCAACTTTTGAAGGAATTATTAGGGCAAAATTTATCCTTAGAATTAAAAATTGTGCTATAGGAATATGAGAATAATACCACATACAAAGTTTAGTCGATATCGGTGGGTCAGGTCTCGAAGTATCGCCTATCGTTTCAGTTTCCGGCTTCTCTAAAGCTCCCTAATACCATCTCGGAGGTAAAATATAATATCGTATTTGGCGTTATTGATTTATGGCGCTTTTAGTAGTTTTTAACGGTGCCGTTATGTGGGGATGATGGAGGTTATCTTCCGATTTTTTCCATTCTCATACTGCCGGTAGAAATTCTTAGAATTTAGTGCTATACAAATTTCGTTATTGTAGTTTTAGTGGTTTAGGAGATATGGACATTAAACTTATTAGAGAGTGGAGCCACGCCCACTTTTTCAAAGTTTTACTTCCGAGAGGTGCTCTTGCTACTGCGAAGGCTTTTTGATTCCGTTCATTGAAATGTAGGTACCAAAAAAAAGGCCGACTTGTTGTATAAGAATTCTAATTTTACATAGAAATTAGTGAAAATCTTTAAAAATTAATCAAATACTCCAAAATATTGTCAAATTCGCATATTCATCGCCTCAAAGTACTAAATTAAAACGCGCTTTCATAACCACAGATGCGCAAATGGTCACAAAATAAAAGCAAACGAAAATTCGTGTTTTTGTTGTTGCCTTTTAATATAAAGTGCCATATTTTGTAATTATGCGAATTTAGGATTATTTAAATGTCATAAATGTCGAGTGCTTTTGAGCGCAAGCACACTCGTACGCACTCGAGCACATTGCAGGCGACCACATTTCGTGGGTCACATAAAGATCTCATGTGCTCGCAAGCTTTGCGGACAGGCGCGTGCAACCGCAAACAATAAAGACCAACTGGGTCACAGACTTCATAATTATCGGCCATAAAATGTAATTTTATTTAGCAAAAACAACTACACAAACATATGCGTACAATGGCGAATGGCAACAAAAAAGAACATGAATATTACCGAAAACTTTATAATTACCGTTAATGGTGGCGCTGATGGTGGTAAATTGCATAGAAAGCCAATAAAAGTGGAGTGGCATTTGAAATATATAAGCCAAGCTTATACGTATGTATCGCAAGTGTAAGTGCCGTTGTGTAGCTGTGAAATTATAACCAAATTAAATGTATGAAGCTGTTGGTCGAAATTTAATTGCCTGACGGCAAAAGCGCAAAATTGCCGCTCACTAAAAAAATTGCGTGACACGGATTTTCAATGTGGTTTTTTGGTTTAAAAGTGAAAATTTGTGCAATGTTATGGTAAATTTACGACAGTGGGCCCATAAAGTGGTGAAAATCCAAATATTGATTGTCAAAAAAGTCTTGCGGTATTTTCGCTAGTTGGCGCTGAGAGCGCGTAGTTCTAGTTTTATTCGTCGCATCGGGTCATGCTATACCTTTTTGGTAAGCTCATTTCACGCGCTAACATGTGTTTGATTGATTGTCGTTTTTTTCAAGTCGTTCGTGAGTGATAGTGTCGCAAACATGGAGCAAAATAAGGAGAAAATGCGGCATATTTTACAGTATACTACGAGAAAGGCAAAAATGCATCTCAAGCCGCCAATAAAAATTGTGCAGTTTATGGACTCGATACAGTTTCCTTTTCCACCGCACAACGATGCTTTCAACGTTTTCGTTCTGGTGTAGAGGTGGTCGAAGATACGCCATGCTCCGGAAGGCCTGTCGTCGAAAATTGCGATAAAATCGCTGAATTGGTGGAAAGAGACCATAGTAGCAGCCGTAGCATCGGTCAAGAGCTGGGCATGAGTCATCAAAAAAAATTGTATAACAATTGAAAATTCAATAAAAATACCGCAAGACTTTTTTGACAACCAATATAAAAACAAAAATTGACTAAATTCAAGTATGTTTTACCCTCGCAAATTTTAATGAGAAGTAAGGCCGAAAAAAGGAAAAGCCGAAAAAAGTGAATTGTGTGTGTGATATTTTCTAACTGTTACTAAAAATATTTATTTGAAAAGAAACTACAGCCGATCTCCGAGAGCTCCTCTCAAAAAATACTTTTTGCGATGACCTCCTATTCCTCTGAAATTAAAACACATTTCACTCAAGTAATGTTAGATTTAACATAATTAATCGAAGGAATAAGCAAAATACAATTTTTTGACAAAATGACGGTTTCTAAAAAAAATCAATTTTTGACCAAAATTTCAGTTTCAAATGAAAAATTATCGGTGAGAAAAAATCTTCAATTGATTATTAAAAAATATATTTGAGAAGCTCATGTTAAAATTTGAGGCTAATCGGTTTAGCCATTGGCCTGATACTTCCAAATTCACTTGTAATTTCGAATTGTGCATTCTTAAATATATGTACATTATGAAAATAAAATAAAAAAAATTGATTTTTTGTCAAATTGTCAAAAAAAATTTTCAGATTTTTAATACATTTTTAGTACCATACCGCATTGTTTACGGGGAAAGATTCTCCCTGCATTTAATTCAGAATGTGATCGATAGTTTTAGTATGAAATGAGCCGTAAATTCGGAGCTTCTCAAAAACGATATTAAGAGAAAGACTTTTACTTCTGAATTTCATCAAAATATCTCGCAATTTTATCCATATTTTCTGTAAAAAGATACTCATAGATTCATTTGTAGTCTGATTTCAACAATTTTTAAACGAGAGGGACCTTAAATGTGCTAATTGTGGGCAGTTTCATTTCGAAATCTTCAGTGGTACTTGATTTATATATCGTAAAGTGAAGGAATCTGATAAAATTTTATTGTAGAAATATTGTATGTAGTATGTTACGAAATTTGGTTGAAATTAATAGAGCTATTTTTGAATTTCAATAAAAAAGGCGACTCAGTTCAAGGCCACATAAACACTGTACTATCAAAATAATTAAATACGGGGTTATTAATTAAAATGCGATTTTCGAATAGAATGTTGATTTCTGAGCAATTTTTGGTCGTCAGTCAATTTGTGCGGAGCAAATCGTGCACACACCTTTCGTAAAATGTTCGGTCAAAATGTGCGATAAATCGATCTTATGGAGATGCTCACTTCCATTTGCATGAAATTCAATGTTGATTTCGGTTGATTTTTGATGAATTCACGCACAGTTTGGATGGAATTTTCGGTGATCACGGATTTTGATTGGCCCACCTGTTGTTCGTCATTTATGTTCTTACGACCACTTTGAAAACGTTGAAACCACTCGTACACTCTGCTACGGGATAGGCAACCAACATCATAAACTTGTTTCATCAATTGAAACGTTTCGGTAAAAGTTTTACCAATTATAAAACAAAATTTAATGTTGGCTCTTTGTTCGAAACTCATTTTCGCACCGATAATATAAACATACTGACACTTAAATGCAATAACTTCATTTGCAATAAACGAAATGTCATGAAATTCTCACTGGAAAATTGTTAAATATAGCAGATTCTAACGAACCCGTCGATATATAGATGGCGCCACCAGGGGGCGCTAGATTCAAAAATGCTTTTTACTTTGGAAAGCATACTTTACATATAGTAAATATAGTACATATATAACACTATATCTCTCTAAATCGTTTTAATGGCGACGATTAGATGAAAAAGACTATTATACTCTGTGTTATAAGTAATGTTGAGTCCCCTTCTCCCCATAAAGTACAGTCCAGACTAATACCTCCCTACATCTTTACAATATTCTGTTTCACTTAATTTTGAAATGTGCATTTTTGCAAGTATTGCCCTCCGTGCTATGCTGTCTCGTGTCATGCAACCCTGACTTTAATTTGTTAGTAAACCGTTATTACGCTGTCATATGGCCTAATTACCGTTGAACGTTTTATTGCTTAGCATGTGATTTATGTCATAGCTGCAAGCCACCATAGAATAAGGTGGCCTAAATTACGGATAACTGGGACTGAATAATTATTTGTTGAACCCAAAATGTGTATACCATTATTTTTAATGTTATTGCTCGCAATTTCTTTTGCAGTGTCGTGTGCTGTTGAATTTGCGCACATCGCAGCCATTCGAAGAGGTCTTAGAAGATTTGGGTCAAGTGTTGAAAATAAATGGCGCCAAGAAAATGTACACGGGCACAGGACAAGAGGTGGGTGGAAGTGGGCTATTGACCATGACACAATAACCGCATAATCGCCGATTTGCTACACCGACGATTTAACAATTTTTTTCTTTTTATTTCTTTTATTCTGCAATCGTGCCATGTCTGTACGCTCACACCACTAATCACATTATCATTTGTCGACGCACCTTTGCAGGTACGCAGCTTTTCACAACTACGCAACGAGTTTGCCGATGTTGACACATTTTATCTAGCAACTGGCACTGCCTTAATTGCCGGTTCGCCTATTAGGCGATCACGTTCGCGCCCCTCCGTTGTCGCCGCAGCGCCAATACTACCCACAGAAGAACTGCCTAAGGTTCCTTTACGCGGTGCACGTCCACGCAGTAAAAGTCGTCCACGCATTCTCTATGCGCCGGAGAGTGAGATTTTACGTGCGAACGGTGAATACAGCATGTTGGACATTATGAAAGAGGAGCCCACCAAAGTGACTATACGTGGCTTGCGGCGTACCTTCTATCCACCATTACATCATGCGCCCGCGGATAATACGCCGCCCGATAAAAAATTGCAACTACAGTGGGTGTAAGTTGGAAACGCGCTTGATGCCGGCTTTAATGCCAAGTTTTACTGACATTCTGCTTAATTTTGTTTTTTCATGCGCAGTCACGGCTATCGTGGCATTGATGCACGTCGTAATCTCTGGGTTTTACCAACGGGTGAGCTATTGTATTACGTTGCTGCTGTGGCTGTACTGCTGGATCGTGAGGAAGATGCACAGCGACACTATACTGGACACACGGAGGATATTATGTGGTTAGTATGCTTTTATGGTGATGAAGTGTGCTTTCGTATATAATTTTAACTTTTTAATACACTTTGTCAACAGCATGGACGTACATCCATCACGTGAGCTGGTGGCTTCGGGCCAAAAAGCGGGACGCGATCGTAAATCACAAGCGCATGTGCGCATTTGGAGCACCGAATCACTGCAGACACTATATGTTTTCGGCATGGGCGAGTTGGATAGCGGTGTCACAGCGGTGGCCTTCTCACAACTGGTAAATTATTGCAATCACATATTTCTATAACGCCAACATGCAACATTTAATCACTTGCAGAACGGTGGCAGCTATATATTGGCTGTGGATAGCGGGCGCGAAAGCATACTTTCAGTTTGGCAGTGGCAATGGGGTCATCTGCTCGGAAAAGTTGCAGTAGGTGTAGCTGCAATAAGCACAACAACAGCTCTTTAAATGTTTTTTATATTTGTAGACGCTGCAAGAAGGCCTCTCAGGTGCCGCCTTTCATCCGCTGGACGATAATCTCATTATCACACATGGGCGTGGGCATCTGGCTTTTTGGCATCGTCGCAAAGATGGCTTTTTCGAACGCACCGATATTGTTAAGCAGCCATCACGTTCGCATGTCACCAGCGTGCAATTCGAACCGGATGGTGATGTCATCACTGCCGATTCCGATGGTTTCATAACCATTTATTCGGTTGACTCGGATGGCGCCTACTTTGTACGCACCGAATTCGAGGCACACAACAAGGGTATTGGTTGTCTAATTATGCTGGGCGAGGGTACGCTACTGTCGGGCGGTGAGAAGGACCGTAAGATTGCCGCCTGGGACTCCTTACAAAATTACAAAAAGATTGCAGACACAAAAGTGAGCAAGCTTAACGAGAATGTTTTGCATTTACTAACTATTTCTACTTTGCTTAGCTTCCTGAGGCCGCTGGCGGCGTACGCACTATTTATCCACAACGTCCCGGACGCAATGATGGCAATATTTATGTGGGCACCACACGTAATAACATTTTAGAGGGTTCACTACAGCGTCGCTTTACACAAGTCGTTTTCGGCCATGGTCGCCAATTGTGGGGCTTGGCTGCACATCCCGAAGATGAGGTGTTCGCCACTGCCGGCCATGATAAACATATTGCACTGTGGCGCAAAAACAAATTAATTTGGACTATACAAACTGGTTATGAGTGTGTTTCACTAGCTTTTCATCCATTTGGCACTGCATTGGCTGCTGGCAGCACTGAGGGTCATCTACTTGTCATCAATTGTGAAAATGGTTCCATTATGCTGACGTTGCGTGTCTGCGGCTCACCGCTGAACTGTGTAGCGTTCAATCAAGGTGTGTAGTTTTCATTGTTTTAGCTTGGATTGGTTAAGGAGATTTTTTATTCCTTATTTAGTTGGCGACATGATCGCAATGGGCTCGCAGAATGGCAGCATATATTTGTTCCGCGTATCGCGCGACGGTTTCTCTTACAAAAAGGTTAATAAAATACGCGGCTCACAGCCGCTCACACATCTGGACTGGAGCATGGATGGCAATTTTGTGCAAACGGTCACCATTGACTTCGATCTACTCTTCTGGGATGCTAAGTCACTCTCGCCGGAGCGCAGTCCCATTGCTATGAAAGATGTCAAATGGTTGACTAGCAATTGCACTGTTGGCTTTTTAGTGGCAGGCATGTGGAGTAATCGTTACTATAGCAACAACAACACAATTATTGCCACCTGCAGTCGTTCGGCGGCGCAAGACATGCTTGTGTCCGGTGATGCCGATGGCTATCTGCGCATTTTCAGGCATGTCAACATTTACATTTCAAATTTAATTTTTTTTTTTTTCAAAGTTTTAATTCACTGTGTATTCCCACAGATTTCCCTGTATTAGTCCACGCGCCGAATTTCACGAAGCGAAAGTCTATTCCGGTATGCTGGCATGTTCACGTTTTCTCTACGGCGATCAGACTGTTGTTACAGTGGGCGGCACAGACGCCTCACTCATGGTTTGGGATCTCGTAGAAGAATAACTGCAATGGCCACCGTGGCGTACGACTGTCCAGCACTATGATGAAGCACGCGGCTACACCGACTATTGGACGCGGCGCCGTTCGTCTAATAAATCTTCGACAATATTGGACAGCGACTCAATTGAATATCAATAAATTTTCCTACAAAACAACGGTGCATAAGAATGTGGAGCAAAAAAATTTGTGGAAAAATGCTTAGCAGTGCCCAGCGTTGTCGTTGTTGTTGTTGTTGTTGTCATATTCATTAGTTCGCCCTTCCTGATGTTGGTGTTGAACGTAGTGTCACTGCTGTGTTTGGGCGCAGCTTCTACCGCCTTAAGCGAAAATTTGCATAACACAACGAATTTGAGCGTTTTCACTTTTGTTAAAAATATTATTGGGAATTAGTGAAAAACAACCAAATTAAGATATTATCAAAAATATCAAATTATAGCACTTAAAATTACTAATTAGGATAATTTGTCAACGAAATATGAAAAGCAAATGAAATTCTGTCATTTTCCCGCTTCCGTAACGTTTTAGCGCCATCTGTATGCCAACTTGTATGGGAGCTGATATTGGTTGCCAAATGTGGCAAATATGCAGATAAATTTTTAAACGAGATTTATAATTTTTGCGCAAAACTTATAATTTGAAAAAAAAAAAAATATTTTGAAAAAATTTTATTTAAAAAAAAATGTTATTTTGGAAGTTATTTTATTTTGACAAAACAAATGAAAAATATTTAATTTGAAAAATATATACAGTGAAATCTTCCATAAGCGGACACAGCCTTTCTGTGCGGTTAATAGAGTTTTCCGGTTAGTAGATTGACCTTTATAAATATGTATAAGAAATGTTGGGATCGGTCAATGTGCACGGTTAATGAAGATGTCTAATTAATAGAGCGTCCGTTTAATATACATATGTAGCTTTCACTGTATATAAATTTTGAAAACAAATTTATGTTGAAAAAAAAAATATATTATTTGAAAAAATATTTTGTTTATGAAAAAGTCTTGGTGTTAAAAAAAAATGATTTAATTATATATTTTGAAAAGTACTAGTGAAAAAACTTTTTTTTTAACAAACATTTTGAAAAAATTTTATCGATTTTTTTTTACAATTTTTTAAACAAATATTTCTAAATCATTTCTTTGATATAATTAGTAAAAGGTTTTTTGTTAAAGGAAATTAAACTTCCACTAATGAAGAAAAATTCAATTATAAAAACAAATATTGTTAACTTCCGAAAATTGCTTCCATTTCACTTTATCAAAACTTCCAAGAACTTTATAATTTAAATTGCTATAATTTAAAAACCAAAAAAAAACTTGTTTGAAAAAAATTGTAAACTTCCGAAAACCGCTTCCCATTAACAAAATTTATTTTAATTTTTTATTAGTTTTACTATATTTATTTTTTATTTAAAATTATATGAACTGCATGACTTATTTATGTTTTTTTTTTTTTGTACTAAATATTAAGCATTATTAAATAAATTATACGCAGAGCTGCTTCCAACTTACACACAGTCTAAATTTTTCCTAACCATATAGACTATACGACTATATAGTGCTACTTTTTCTGTAACAGACTTAAGCCACTGGTGGATACTTAATGATTTCTTATTGTAGTTATAAAAAATGCATAAAAAAAATGTTGACTTTTGAAAAGTAAACAGCATTTTTGAAAATTCATAAGATAACACAATAAACATAACTGTTCTTCTTTTAAATTCATCCTATGTTAAAACTTTATCATTTGTTATTTGTATTATTATAATATATTTAATTTTAATTTTATTAATATTTCTTCTGTAATTAATTTCACATTATTTTCTATATAAAATGATAACTGTAAAAAACGAAGTGCCTTGTTTGTTCTAGTAAATAAATATGGTACGGTTATAACCAATTGCACTTAATATGACGCATTTTTTGAAAGTTGTTATAATGTATTATAATAAAAAAATAATAAAACATATCAATAAAATGCAAAAGTTTTAAGAAGTATTATATAAACTTTTCCTTTTTTCTTCTGACTTTAGTGGGAGAGGCAAACAATTTAAAAGTAGACTTGACTTGAGTTATATAAAAATTTATAGCAACCACACGATCTCGATTTCGATTTTCAGTAAATTATTCAGCAAGTTATTCAGCTATATTTATTTTCTATTAGGTACAACCATTTTTTTATATTTTAAAACACAATAATTGAGAAACCTATTTTTCACTTATAAAATATACCCGCACATTCATATCACTATTATTATTATTTTTTATCATGAGCAATAAATAAGAAAACAACTCATTTTACAGTGCACAAACATTTTTCCACTTTTGTGGCAACACTGTGACTTTTTCGAACAACTACACGGCGAATTGAGCTCGTTTGCGTGTACGCGCGACAGCTATATTTAGCGCGCACTATAGCCTTCGCCCTCTTTCATAAGCAATGTAAAGCGTATTTGCCTACATTTAACACATACGCTTTGTCTTTTAATTTCGGAAAGTCCATGTAAATCGCCTAAAAACGGCGCTTGAGCGAATTTCGTGATTTTTCCTCGCCGTGGTCATCGTTTTCGTCGTTGTGTGGTTTAGTTTTTGCTGGTTGCGGCTCTATCCCTTTTTTGTCTACGGTGCGATTATATTTTGACACACACGATTCATATAATTCACGTTCTCATAGACACGCTAGAAAAAACGCGCTGCACTTCATTCTTGATTCGGTTTTTATCAGTGAAGTATGCCTTCTGCTTCAAACAAACTGGAGAAACAAGCCTCCATAGGCTCTGTGCATGGTACTGGCGGTGGTAACAATGTTACTGGTAGCGGTGCCACAAAGAAGTCTCAAGATGTGGTCAATAGCAATTCCAACACTATGTCCGAGAATAATGCGAACAGCACAGTCTTGAACAATAATATTGCCAACAGTACTACTAATGAGGGTTCGGTTACCTCAACCAGCACCAATACAAAAGGAGTTGCTACGAATCCTGTGTTAGAAGCTAATATTCCAATGAAACAAACAATCACCACAATTGACCATAAGATACGCAATTTGGAGAAACGCAAGGTGAGTGAAGCATAATTTATAAGATTTTTTCTGTCGTGCCTTTTGCCAACAACCCCGAAGGATTCTCAAAGAAGCCCTTGTAAGAAAGGCCGATAAATCAAAGTTGCAGACATTTAACAAAACCGGCCGCATAATTGTGCGTCGGTCATAACAAATTGTGCTAATTTATGCTGCGTATTAGTCATGGTATCATTTTCGAATTTTCTACTATTTGGTGCTATTATATTTTTATGTAATTTAGTATTTAAAAGTTTGTTGGTGCAAATAGATTTTGCATTAACTCCATTTCCTTTCATTTCAAGAAAAATTTGGCATTCGTGCTATTTCGGTTTTGTTCGGTGTATTTCGCAGAATTTTTTCGCGCGACGCCATCTTTGTTTCGACGATTATAGCAAAAGCAAAGCAGCAGTGGTAGTAGCAACAATTTACAACACACGGTTTATATTACGGTTGCCATCCGTGCGGGGGAGCGAAACGTTTGTAACACAAAGAACATGAAAATAATGATGGTGTTGCTTTTGTGTTTTTGAATGACTCGATAAAGAAGTATGACAATTTGTGTGCTGACTAAACTCGAGATTGGCATTGCATGCTTGTATGAGAAGTTCATCACCGCTTATATATTTGTTGACGGGTTTCATTGACCTATGTCAATTGTTGAAGCAATTTATTCAGCGGCTTTCGTAATGTGGCATCACTAGTGCATAATAGGGGAACTCCATGTGCTTCTGTTCGATTTTCCATGTTTTATTTTATAGCAGCAATTTCGCTTCGCTCTTGCAATTTTTTTTTGTTTTTTAATTTTTCATGGTCGTAATTACCTTTTTTTTACTGTTGCGTATTTCTGTTATTACCTATCCCCCTTTTCTTATCTGCTGCAGTTTTGTTTTTGTTGCGGCCACTATACTTTGCTTAATTACTGCCTTCCATGTTATTCGTAATAAGCAAAAATATTGTTTGCCTTCGGTGTTTTACCATTTCCGCATAAAATTAAATGTTATTTATTTTTTTTCCACACCGCTTCATTTTGTTTACTATTTTCTATTGCATATTCGTCAACAAAGTTTTTAATCGCTCGTTGATAAGCATTTAACAATAAAAACTTGAGTGGGTGATATCTATTATAAAGACACCTGTGCACCATATTTCTATTTGAGAAGATACGGGATGAGTAAAAATTTTCCTGTTGTTTATGGTTAATAATATTGAGAACATGCCTAACTCTATAAGAATCTGCTCATTTGTTGGTCGATCAACATCAAATCAATGCGTGGAAGTTGTTTCTGTCCAAAGAGTTAATACCTGAATAATTTATTAAGATAGCACGGTAGTATATACCTCTCATACAAACCGATAGACCAAAATCAAGATAATTATTTCTTATACCCATTTAAGCTGCTAGAATTAAAGGCTATTATAGCATAAGTTAAAGTTTCTCTTTTTTTTTTTTTTTGAATTTCTTCATGGTATATGTAATGTCTATTTATTCCACTCCTATGTATTATTAATATTGTTTTTCACAGACTAAATTGGAATCATATCGTACCATTCAAGCTTCTGGCAAGGAGTTGAGCTCCGACCAGAAGGCTGCTGTAGCAAAGTATGACGCTGTTATTGCTATGTTGGAATTCGCACGCGATTTCTCCAAGCAAATGTGGCAATTTGTGAAAGAAGCTGAAAAGGAGCAAAGGAAACAAGCACGCAAGGTACTTAATACACATATAAAATTATTTAAAAATATTTAATGCATTTTGTATATTGTAGGATCTGATTACACGTGCCCTTGCTGAGACTGCCAAAATCCGTGAAGCTTTAGTTATCCAAAATATCATCAATTGCTTTGAAGATGAGACCATTCGTGCCGACTTTTTAAACGGAGCCAATGGCGCATTGAAATTGGAAACTGCCGATATCACCATTTTGGATAAGTTGTAAGTAGTAGAATTAAAAAAAGATAAAATTATATTAATTTAATTATTTTCATTTTAGTTGTTGCGATGTACGTATGACCCGTCCCGAGACTGTAGATGATGTACCTTTCGTGACTGCCGCACAAAAAGCGGCAGAACTTTATTCAATGACCATTGACGGACGCCCCAAAGTTTATGCTGAAAACTTTACATATGATCAGATACGTTTAATCTTCAATAAAATTCAGGAATCTGGTTATCTCGATAAGATCTATATGGCAACACCAGAGGTAGAGGTTGAGGTGAAGGAAGAGGACGAAGTGTTTAGCAATTCCGCCGACGGTGAAGACGTGGCTAATGCAGACGAGATATATTTAGAAGAAGGGTTGGAGAAGTTAAACGTATCATCTATTGATGTAGAAGATGATTTGGATGACCAGAATGCCAATGCTGGTTTAATCGATGATGCCGTTTTGCAAGCAACAGTTGCAGGTAACGTTAACGATTTGCCACAGCAGCAGCAACAACAACCAAACTTGCCCCAGCAGTTGGTGCCACAGCAAACGACTAAGGAGCACCTTGATGTACAACAAGTACAGGG